GGGTGAGGGGGGGCATGGCGTGGAGAGTGGGGGGCGAGGGGGGGCATGGCGTGGAGAGTGGGGGGCGAGGGGGGGCATGGCGTGGAGAGTGGGGGCGATGGGGGGCATGGCGTGGAGAGTGGGGGGTGAGGGGGGGCATGGCGTGGAGAGTGGGGGGCGAGGGGGGGGCATGGAGTGGAGAGTGGGGGTGAGGGGGGCATGGCGTGGAGAGTGGGGGGCGAGGGGGGGCCATGGCGTGGAGAGTGGGGGGCGATGGGGGGGCCATGGCGTGGAGAGTGGGGGCGATGGGGGGGCCATGGCGTGGAGAGTGGGGGCGATGGGGGGGCCATGGCGTGGAGAGTGGGGGGGGGGAGAGGGCATGGCGTGGAGAGTGGGGGCGAGGAGGGGGCATGGCGTGGAGAGTGGGGGGCGAGGGGGGGGCATGGCGTGGAGAGTGGGGGGCGAGGGGGGGCATGGCGTGGAGAGTGGGGGGCGAGGGGGGGCATGGCGTGGAGAGTGGGGGGCGAGGGAGGGGGGCATGGCGTGGAGAGTGGGGGCGAGGGGGGGCATGGCGTGGAGAGTGGGGGGCGAGGGGGGGCATGGCGTGGAGAGTGGGGGGCAAGGGAGGGCATGGCGTGGAGAGTGGGGGGCGAGGAGGGGCATGGCGTGGAGTGGGGGCGAGGGGGGGGCATGGCGTGGAGAGTGGGGGGCGAGGGGGGCATGGCGTGGAGAGTGAGGGGCGAGGGGGGGCATGGCGTGGAGTGGGGGCGCGAGGGGGGGGCATGGCGTGGAGAGTGGGGGGCGAGGGGGGGGCATGGCGTGGAGAGTGAGGGGCGAGGGGGGGCATGGCGTGGAGAGTGAGGGGCGAGGGGGGCATGGCGTGGAGAGTGAGGGGCGAGGGGGGCATGGCGTGGAGAGTGGGGGGGCGAGGGGGGGCATGGCGTGGAGAGTGGGGGGCGAGGGGGGGCATGGCGTGGAGAGTGGGGGGCGAGGGGGGGGCATGGCGTGGAGAGTGGGGGCGAGGGGGGGCATGGCGTGGAGAGTGGGGGGCGAGGGGGGGCATGGCGTGGAGAGTGGGGGGCGAGGGGGGGCATGGCGTGGAGAGTGGGGGGCGAGGGGGGGCATGGCGTGGAGAGTGGGGGGCGAGGGGGGGCATGGCGTGGAGAGTGGGGGGCGAGGGGGGGCATGGCGTGGAGAGTGGGGGGCGAGGGGGGGCATGGCGTGGAGAGTGGGGGGCGAGGGGGGGCATGGCGTGGAGAGTGGGGGGCGAGGGGGGGCATGGCGTGGAGAGTGGGGGGCGAGGGGGGGCATGGCGTGGAGAGTGGGGGGCGAGGGGGGGCATGGCGTGGAGAGTGGGGGGCGAGGGGGGGCATGGCGTGGAGAGTGGGGGGCGAGGGGGGGCATGGCGTGGAGAGTGGGGGGCGAGGGGGGGCATGGCGTGGAGAGTGGGGGGCGAGGGGGGGCATGGCGTGGAGAGTGGGGGGCGAGGGGGGCATGGCGTGGAGAGTGGGGGGCGAGGGGGGCATGGCGTGGAGAGTGGGGGGCATGGCGTGGAGAGTGGGGGGCGAGGGGGGCATGGCGCGGAGAGTGGGGGGCGATGGGGGGGCCATGGCGTGGAGAGTGGGGGGCGATGGGGGGGCCATGGCGTGGAGAGTGGGGGGCGATGGGGGGGCATGGCGTGGAGAGTGGGGGGCGATGGGGGGGCATGGCGTGGAGAGTGGGGGGGGGAGAGGGCATGGTGTGGGAGAGAGGGAGGGAGACAGGGCATGGTGTGGACCTTCCTAACAGGCGATGCCATACCAATGATACTTTTCAAGGCCCTAGTGTGTCTCTAAGGTGGAATATTGCTGCACTCTAACAGCCCCATTCAGAGCCGGAGGAATTTCTGACCTGGAGAGCGTGCAAAGATCCTTTACCGCTAGAATCCACTCTACAGGAGTAATCTTAATTATTGCCGGACCAACCAGGCTGTGGTGGGTATGTGGGCCTGCGGGCCGCTCCAAGCAACAGCCTGGTGGACCAAACTCTCACAAGTTGAGCCTGGCCTCGGGCCGGGCTTGGGGAGTAGAAGAACTCCCAGAACCCCATCAACCAGGTATCAACCAGGGACCGATTAAATGCCTAAATCTGTATTCTATTGAGCGCATGCGGGAGATATATATAATAATCTACACATGGAAAATAGTAGAGGCGCTGGTCCCAAACCTGCACACAGAAATAACACCACATGAGACCAGGAGGCATGGCAGGATGTGCAGAATACCCCCGTTGAAGAGCAGAGGTGCAACAGGTACTCAGAGAGAACTATCAACATCAGAGGCCCGAGACTGTTCAACATGCTTCCACTACACATAAGGGGCATAACTGGCCGACCCCTCACAGTGTTCAAGAGAGAACTATCAACATCAGTGGCCCGAGACTGTTCAACACGCTTCCACTACACATAAGGGGCATAACTGGCCAACCCCTCGCAGTGTTCCATGCGGTGTGTGGAGGAGGGGGGGGCCAAGGGCAAGTGAAGGAAGGGGGGGACCAAGGGCGAGTGAAGGAGGGGGGAGGGCCAAGGGCGAGTGAAGGAGGGGGGGGGCCAAGGGCGAGTAAAGGAGGAGGGGGGGCCAAGGGCGAGTGTAAAGGAGGAGGGGGGCGCCAAGGGCGAGTGTGAAGGAGGGGGGCGCCAAGGGCGAGTGTGAAGGAGGGGGGCGCCAAGGGCGAGTGTGAAGGAGGGGGGCGCCAAGGGCGAGTGTGAAGGAGGGGGGGCCAAGGGCGTGTGTGAAGGAGGGGGGGGGCCAAGGGCGTGTGTGAAGGAGGGGGGGGGGCCAAGGGCGCGTGTGAAGGAGGGGGGGGGGGCCAAGGGCGCGTGTGAAGGAGGGGGGGCCAAGGGCGAGTGTGAAGGAGGGGGGCCAAGGGCGAGTGTGAAGGAGGGGGGGGAGGGCCAAGGGCGTGTGTGAAGGAGGGGGGGGGGCCAAGGGCGTGTGTGAAGGAGGGGGGGCCAAGGGCGTGTGTAAAGGAGGAGGGGGGGCCAAGGGCGAGTGTAAAGGAGGAGGGGGGGGCCAAGGGCGTGTGAAGGAGGGGGGGCCAAGGGCGAGTGTGAAGGAGGGGGGGGGGCCAAGGGCGTGTGTGAAGGAGGGGGGGGGCCAAGGGCGTGTGTGAAGGAGGGGGGGCCAAGGGCGTGTGTGAAGGAGGAGGGGGGGCCAAGGGCGTGTGTGAAGGAGGGGGGGGGCCAAGGGCGTGTGTGAAGGAGGGGGGGGCCAAGGGCGTGTGTGAAGGAGGGGGGGGGGCCAAGGGCGTGTGTGAAGGAGGGGGGGCCAAGGGCGTGTGTGAAGGAGGGGGGGCCAAGGGCGTGTGAAGGAGGGGGGGCCAAGGGCGAGTGTGAAGGAGGGGGGGGGGCCAAGGGCGTGTGTGAAGGAGGGGGGGGGGAGGGCCAAGGGCGTGTGTGAAGGAGGGGGGGGGCCAAGGGCGTGTGTGAAGGAGGGGGGAGGGCCAAGGGCGTGTGTGAAGGAGGGGGGGGGGCCAAGGGCGTGTGTGAAGGAGGGGGGGGGCCAAGGGCGTGTGTGAAGGAGGGGGGGGGCCAAGGGCGTGTGTGAAGGAGGGGGGGCCAAGGGCGTGTGTGAAGGAGGGGGGGGCCAAGGGCGTGTGTGAAGGAGGGGGGGCCAAGGGCGTGTGTGAAGGAGGGGGGCCAAGGGGCGTGTGTGAAGGAGGGGGGGGCCAAGGGCGAGTGTGAAGGAGGGGGGGGGCCAAGGGCGTGTGAAGGAGGGGGGGGCCAAGGGCGTGTGAAGGAGGGGGGGGCCAAGGGTGAGTGAAGGAGGGGCACAGAGTGGAGGGCGAGTGAGGAGGGCCACAGAGTGGAGGGCCACAGAGTGGAGGGCCACAGAGTGGAGGGCCACAGAGTGGAGGGCCACAGAGTGGAGGGCCACAGAGTGGAGGGCCACAGAGTGGAGGGCCACAGAGTGGAGGGCCACAGAGTGGAGGGCGAGTGAGGAGGGCCACAGAGTGGAGGGCCACAGAGTGGAGGGCCACAGAGTGGAGGGCGAGTGAGGAGGGCCACAGAGTGGAGGGCGAGTGAGGAGGGCCACAGAGTGGAGGGCGAGTGAGGAGGGCCACAGAGTGGAGGGCGAGTGAGGAGGGCCACAGAGTGGAGGGCGAGTGAGGAGGGCCACAGAGTGGAGGGCGAGTGAGGAGGGCCACAGAGTGGAGGGCGAGTGAGGAGGGCCACAGAGTGGAGGGCGAGTGAGGAGGGCCACAGAGTGGAGGGCGAGTGAGGAGGGCCACAGAGTGGAGGGCGAGTGAGGAGGGCCACAGAGTGGAGGGCGAGTGAGGAGGGCCACAGAGTGGAGGGCGAGTGAGGAGGGCCACAGAGTGGAGGGCGAGTGAGGAGGGCCACAGAGTGGAGGGCGAGTGAGGAGGGCCACAGAGTGGAGGGCGAGTGAGGAGGGCCACAGAGTGAAGCAGCAGGCACCGGGTCGAGAGAGTGACAGGGGCCCCCACGGTGTTTACGCTTCTCCTGCACTCTCGCCGTGACCGTCAATGGTGTCATGGCGAGACTGGTGCCAGGCGCCCTGTCATCTCCCTCTCATCTGCCGCAGCTCCCCGCCCCAACACCCGACACTCCCACAACTCCCCTCACCCCTCTCGCCCTCTCCCCGGCTCTCCCATACCCCGCCCTCAAACCAATCCCTCGAAAACTATACGTTAAAATGGGAGGAGAGCCGCGTCTGCGTGCCGTCCGTTTTTCATCAATATATCAGCCCACCGCCCTCCACCGCCCAACCTACTCCCACACACACACCCTATTACCACATTACCGCCCCCTGATCGCTTAGACTGTTGCCTCTAGCGTGCAGAGGGCGTGCGTGAGGGGCCAGAGAGGGCGTAGGAAGGGAGGAATGCGAGAAAACACAGGCAGGAACATGGTCCGGGTCCGCGCCCTAAGTTGGCATCAGAGAAAATGGATGAGAGTGGAGAGGTTAGTGGCGGCGGCTCCTCTAACGTCTACCCTCAACCCTCCCCCCCGGGGGCCTTACCTGGGGCAGATTGGCGTCTAGCTGCCGCTGCAGGCTGTCTCGCTCCTTCTCCAGCTCCTGGTACTTGGTCTCCAGCTCGCTCAGCCTCTCCTGGGTCTCGCGAATGGTGTCGAGGAGCTTGTCCCTCTCGTCCAGCATCGACACCATAAGCTGTTCAAAATTAGCGTCATCTCCGCTAAACTGCGATCCCCTCTGGGAGATGCTGTCCTCAGCTATGGTAGGCATCACATCACACATCATATTCCACATCTTGGAGGAAATTCAGGCGACGGACCGTAATATTACTTCAAACCTTCACCGACTGAGAGGCAGCGACTGGCTACCCACCGCCTTCACACAAACTCCACAGCTATTTTCATCGTCATATTCACACCTTAAGCCAGCACGGTGCGGTCACACTTAACATAACTACCATTGGCTAGCTCTGTGCACCACATTAAGCACTCCATAGTCACGATATCATTCACTAATTACAAGAAGTTAGCTGCCTGTCTGACCTGGCCGCTATCGAACGTCGGCCATTTTCAAGACTGCCTCTGTCCCACCATGTTCGAGTGGGTGCACGAGTCGTTGGCTATGTCTTCGTCTAACAGCTCCGCGCCCCACCCACTCAATACTTATCCAACACGATATTTAATACACCTAATTTACATCATCTTAGTTTATTTAATGTGGATAATTTATTAAACTTAACACTAAAAACACAGCGGCAGGATTGATGAGTGAAAGATGTGGGGTGAAGTACCCCATAATTACGAGAGTGGTGGCCTGATGTGTACTACAGCGGGACTGTATGAATGAAAGGTACTGTCTTAATACGTTCAAAATCATCACCCGCTACGACATGATGAGGTAGGCAGTCTCTCTCCTCTACGATCACCCATCTATAGTAAATGTTTTCCCCCTCTAATCCGCAAGACGAACATTCATGGTAAAAACGAAATAAAGAGAAAAGTGTGGCAGCAGCTATAAGGTCCATCACATGAGATATTCAACATACTTACTGGGCGTGTGAGGAGTCATGCGCCAGGTATTTGTATAAGGCGGGTCTGGTAATACCCTCTATACGGTCTTGCTTCCCTGCCTCTATCTTCCTCTAGGTCCAGCTTCAGCTCCTGGGCTCAACATTTCAGTAGGCTATTTGCAATACCTCCAGACCATATTATAGTAATATAATTTTTTATTTATTTATTTACAGAAATATTAATATTCTTAAATTTGGGTGAATCTTTCACACACACACAAGCACTAGCATGCATATAACGTTGAAGGAAATACAATATACATAGTGCATGTAACACTATTTACATTCAAAATCGGCGTATGTAGATTCGGTAATTAGAAATATTCACATACCTCACCTCACTATGTAATTAAATGCGACGAAAAAATCAAGACTGTATAGATAATTCGATCACAAATGTTCCAGAAACGTGTATTTCATTCACGATGATGTGTTAGCAGAACTCTTAAGTCAAGTATCCCAAGTTTGCCTGCTGTAGGGTGACCAAGCACCTCACGGTAAACTTTCCACTGTCCCCGCCCACCCACTGGTGTGGAGAGCATCATAATTATATCAAGATTATATGTAACTGGCTCACTGCTTAGCTTAGGAGACTGTTGTGGTCCAGTTCTTGGTCCAGAATGCTATAAAAGACTGTTGATGCATACATTAAACTATGTAACTGTAGCTATGGTAAACACAGTAACCTGCTTAGCTAAATTAATAAATCACACCACTCACTCAAAGTTATAGAACACGTGGGAGCAGCAGTCAAAAAAGCCTAACCAAACCCTTGGAATAATCACTCGTACCTTTGACTTTAAAAACAAGTAGCGATTCAACTGTATAAATCTCTGGTGCGCCCTCATTTGGATTAATGTATCCAAGCATGGAGATCATCTTCAGAAGGACATACAGCTGCTCTGAAGAAAGTGCAACACCGGGCAACAAAAATCATTCCAGAGCCAAGTCAACTCACGTACCAGGAACGGTTGAGGGCCATCACTACAAACCCGGCATGGCAGAGTGCATCTCATTGAAACTTAAAATACTGAGCAGTCTAGAGGTTTTTGTACAAGGACAATTTCTTCAAAAATTACTTACTTCAGCTTACGGCCACTCGTCCTTGTAGAGGAAACAAAGAAAATAGAGTTTGAAATCCGAGAAAAAAATCAGCCAAAAACAAATTCAAAGTCCCAAGTTCTGCCAGTTGTGACTGATTTATTTGTTGACCAAATTCATTCTATCTTCACACAGTTAAGAACGAGTATGCACTCTACAGGATGTAGAGGTTACAACAAAACCAGACAATAAACAAAAGAGCAAAAACAAATAAAAATATTTCTCCTAAAAAAATAATTTTTTGAACATTGGTGAAAGTGACATATTAACATTGGGCAATGTATTTACATGATATATATATAACAAAATAGAGCATAATAACATACTTATTATTATTTGTGTTATGTATTACTCAGTAATGCTATAAAGGCACCAGCTGTATATCTACTTTGTGGACACTTCTTACTACTATTCTTTGTGCAGCAGACAAGTGCTCCCATCTCATTATCATTGTATTATCCATCAGTTCCTGTTAATAGGAGCTGTTCTCCTTATCAGATTTTTTGTTTTTTTAATCGTCTAAAATCCATTTCTGAAAATATTGGGATGAAACTTTCACGGCGCTGTAGCCAATAACTTGGAGATTTGTTTAACATTTATAAGTAATTTTAACTTAATTCGAATATTTTTAAAGTTCCCGCCAGCTTAACAAAGGTCAAGCAATGGAGATGACAACCAACAACCTCACAGAGAACTGTGAGCCATGTTCACCTTCACACACACAATGTAAACATTACCACACACCAATCACATTAACCTGAGATATATATATATATATATATATTATATATATATTATATATATATATATATATATATATATATATATATATATATATATATATATATATATATATATATATATATATATATATATATATATATATATATATATATATATATATATATATATATATATATATATATATATATATATATATATATATATATATATATATATATATATATATATATATATATATATATATATATATATATATATATATATATATATATATATATATATATATATATATATATATATATATATATATATATATATATATATATATATATATATATATATATATATATATATATATATATATATATATATATATATATATATATATATATATATATATATATATATATATATATATATATATATATATATATATATATATATATATATATATATATATATATATATATATATATATATATATATATATATATATATATATATATATATATATATATATATATATATATATATATATATATATATATATATATTATATATATATATATATATATATATATATATATATATATATATATATATATATATATATATATATATATATATATTATATATATATATATATTATATATATATATATATATATATATATATATATATATATATATATCTCAGGTTAATGTGATTGGTGTGTGGTAATGTTTACATTGTGTGTGTGAAGGTGAACATGGCTCACAGTTCTCTGTGAGGTTGTTGATCTTTATCAATCATCAATCAACCCCACAACAAGCTGACTAACTCATGAGTACCTACTTACAGCTAGGTGAACAGAGGCATTAGGTTGTGCCCAACTATTTTTATCCCGCCCGGGATTCGAACTCTGAATTATCGATTGTGCGTCGAGAACGAACCCGTCCTCCAAATAAAGACCCAAAAGTGATTCCACGCACCCGCCAAACCCCCTGTTTATGCAACCCGTCCTCTACTCAAGTCCATTACATCCAGCGGTCGACCCCACAGACGCATTCATAAATTTTAACATGCTGTTCATTCAAAACGGGAATGTTCTCAAGTATAAATTAATATTATAATATATTGGCATATTGTTTATATATAGGCATAGGATAGGTTAGGTCAGGTGTTTAGGTTCTGTTGGCGATTATTTGTATTTGTAGTACGTGGGTGAAGCATTTATAGCGTTGCGATTCTAACAAAATTCGTCAGTGAAGCACTTGTTCCGGATATGTTCGAATGTCAGCAGTTGTGAGTCGTGTGTAAACCGCTTTTCATTCATAAACAGGGGGTTTGGCGGGTGCATGGAATCACTTTTGGATCTTTGTTTGGAGGACGGGCTGGTTTATGAATGAAAAACAGTTTACACACGACTCACAACTGATGACGTTCGAACACTTCCGGAACAAATGCTTCACTGGTGAATTTTGTTCGAACCACAACGCTGTAAATGCTTCACCCACGTACTACAAATACAAATAATCGCCAACAGAACCTAAACACCTAACCTATGCCTATATGTGCACAATATACTATTATAATAATTTATATTTGAGAACATTTCCGTTTTAAATGAACAGCATGTAAAATTTATGAATGCGTCTGTGGGGTCGACCGCTGGATGTAATGGAGTCGAGTCGAGAACTGGTTGACTACCGGGACCCAATAATCTATCCCAATGTAATCTGTGCGTGGGGGGTCAGCCGCTGTAAGCTACATCAAGCCCATCACCACCAAGCGAAAATCAGCTATCACAACATTGTCTTCAGACACACAGTTACAGCCCCGCTCCTGTGCCAGATAAGTCCACTACGGGCTCACTATAGCCCGTGGTACTTGGAACTTATGGGCCCAAGAGGTTCCAGAAGCTGTATCTAAAACAACAAGTTCAAACAACGCACAGCTCCTCCGTGTTTATCCCTAAACATGCACCGTAGAGCGACAGTCTCGCTTCCTGCAGGTCTGTGTTCCATCCCCGACCGTCCAGGTGGTTGGCCACCTTCCTCTCCTCCACCTTGCCCTAAATCCTAATCTTCATACCCTTTCCAAATTCTATCTAGTCGTAATGGCTTAGTGCCTACTGATAATTAACTGATAATTAACCTCCACACATTCTCTTGCGCTGCTTACATTTACAAAATCCTATTATTAAATTGTAATCTTGTTTTGAAACTCTTCATAGGAGGGATGTAATAGATCCCATAGATCACACCAGAAATAAATCTGATATTACCAGTCATTAAATCTGTGAAACACTCCATGCAAATAAGGGACCCAATATATGGAACTCGCTCCATTAAGAAGTAAAAAATTGTCCATCCTACACCTTATTCAAAAGTAGAACAATGAAATACCTAATTTTCATCTTTATAGTACCTCACCTTGTGCTACTAGTTCACAAAGTATCTTGGGTCACTAACTCACCTAGTTTGTCTAATCTAGAAATGCAGCTTCATCAGTAGAACTGATTTGTATCAACACTTTATGCTAATGTAGTAATTACGTGAACTCAGTCTCGTTTACCATGTCTACCTGTCATTACATTTGTTTATTACTGAGCGCTAAATGTTCCTCCTTTACGGCCGGATTCGTCAAGCAGCTACGCAGGCACTTACGAACCTCTACACTTTG